GCGTGATCTTCGCTTAAAGTTTCTAAGAAGCGGGCGGCGAACGTTTTTTCCATTTCCTCGGCTCCATCCATAATCTGTTTCATGGTATGGTTGATGGGGGAGAACTGCTTTCGCAGTTTTGCCCTCATTGCCCGACTTGGAAGCCCATCGATAAACAAGTCCCTTCCTACCTTTTCAGCTCTCTCGGATTTGACAAACAACCTATAGAACCTACTACGATATTATGTAACGGATTCGAGCGGTCTCTGCACACAATCTTTGATCATAAAGAACGCCTGTTCAAGATGGATATAATCAAACCAATTTAAGAAATCTCTCTCGAAGGTCGGAAGATCAATCCAGGTGTAGGTACTAAACCAACGGTGCGCATCTCCTCCCAGTCTGATCCGGGTCTCGTCGTTGTCGTACTGTTGAGCCCGTAAGGTGGCCAGCCATGCCCCGACCAGGTGATGCGCAAGGTCGAAAAGATACAAATCAGGGGGAGCTGCAGGTGTGCGAACTCGGACGGGTGGTGCAGGGCAGGTGCTCCGCCCAGCTGTACGCTAACGTTTGACGCTTGATTGACGTTCATATTGACGGCCTGTCTTCCGGCCGATCAACTCCTCAGTACTATAGGATCTCGTTGAGGTGCGTTCCGCTGTCTAGGCCGTCCTCTATTCGCCAGATCGTCTGAACGTCTGTCCTGCTTACCTCCCTGTGAGTTCGCCACGTGTCGGCCCCGATACCAACCTCACACCCAGCACGACTCGGACAGGTGCTCCGCCCAGCTGTACGTTAACGTTTGGCGCTTGATTGACGTTCATATTGACGGCCTGTCTTCCAGCCGATCGACTCCTAAGTACTATAGGATCGCGTCGAGGCACGTTCCGCTGTCTAGGCCATCCTCTATTCGCCAAATCATCTGAACGTCTGTCCTGCTTACCTCCCTGTGAGTTCGTCACGTGTCGGCTCCGATACCAACCTCATGACCAACGCGACTTCATGATCGGAGTGGGATGGGGGCCAGGAAGTGCGAAAAGGGGTGTGCCAAGGATTTTTGGGAATTTGGGGTGGAGTCCCAGGTCGGAACTGAGATCTCCTGTGGCAAGTCTCAGGGGTAGGAGTGCAAGTGTCTTCTGGCTTAGAGTGGGGGCGATGACCGATCGTGCCGCCTGGGCCGGGGTGGCGTGCTACGGGTGTCTCTGTGGGAGTGCTCGTACCGCTGTCGACCGTCGCACGTCTCAGGGTCCGACGAAGACGAGTTGGATTCCCGTCGCTCGGTGCTGGGAGGGGCTCGCTGCGTGACCCTCGCGTGTCGACGCTCGTCGGGCTGCCGACACTCTGAGCACAGCGGACGGGGCCAGAACCGGGCTATGGAATCCCAGTGGACCATGAGTAACCGATGGTAGGGGAGGACGGTATAGTAGGGAGGGAAGTCAGTGGTAATGGCAACGAAGCCTGGGGTTAGAGAATATTGTTGATTCCGGTTGTCGGGATAATCGGGAATCCTCGAGTCTCGGTTGATTGCCAGCTGGAAATCGCCCCTGCACAGTCGCTCGTTTTTTTGTTCGGCAGGGGTACTCGAGATGTCCCGGGTTCCATAGATGGCGCTGTTGTCGGGTTCGCTGCCGGCGGATCTGTTTCCTTTCCCAATACGCTCGGTATTTTGGGTTCCTAAGGCTTTCGCGATCGGTGATCCAGGAGGGAAAATCTATCTTCATGTCTCGTTCAACCGAATTCGTGCATACACATCTTCCTAGGGGGCAGAATCGTGGCTAGTTTTTGCGGGCGCACGTGTAGATGGCACATCCGCGGGCGAGCGTTGTCTGACACGTGCGTGCGCAAGGGCTAGAAGATCAGATCCTGCTCTGCCCAAGTAACCAAGGAGCGATCCGCACCGGCTCCGTTATTGCAGCTAATTCCACCACGCAAATACACTCAGCAATCCCCGTTTGTCCTGACCCGTATCGCAGATAGGGATTTCATCATTACTATCGACATCTATCGGGCTAAGTCCGTTCGGGGTTGCGGGTCGTCCTCGTGGGTGCGCGTGCAAGCTGCGCTTGTCAGATCGCACTTAGACCGGGACCCGCGGGGTTGGTTCGTTGTGGATCGGTCCATCAGCCAATCACCTGTGCAGAAGGAGGTTCATGCAACAACCCTTCAGATAAATTTCGTTCGAGCAGAAGGCAGTCGTGTGGCCATCAGGGGAATATTTCATCACCACCTAGACATACATCGAAGGATCGTGACGATATCAATTCCTTTCACCTACCAATCATCCGAGTGTGAATAGACCGGTGCTGCGAGCGCTGGATGATTCAGAGTTACACACAAAACATCGGTTATCCCAGCATTACAAGATCATCATACCCATCTCATCAAGCGAATGCAAAAGTGAAAGGGGGTGAACACATCACACAAAGCCGAAAGAAATATCAAAATGCGAAACAAAGGCATCTCGCTCAGAGCCAAAATTTACACAAAAGGACTGAGAAAAACAAAGAAGATTACAATCCCACATCCGCCTGTTTCCTTTCTCTCTCTCTCTCCCTTTCTCCGATGCGGACAGTCCGTCGTCTCGCATCCACTCACGGAGTTGTCACCCCGCTTAGTCCGCATGTGCCCGTCAGGTTCGCCCGTGCGCCACTGTCCGTCGTGGCTTACACGTCAACCCCGCGCACTTGGCACTTAGCTCGTCGGGTCGCCGAACTCCCACGTCAACTCACCTCTTACTTTGCTCATTAGCCGGCCCTCACTGATCACGCTAACCTCGACCTTCTAAAATTTTAAAGAGAGATATCTAACCGCGCCGACGAAATTTATAGCATGCATACGTGCGCGAAGATGCGAGATTGCAGGGATTGGAAAGAGGAATAGAGAGAGGAAGTGCCTACGCTTGTTATGGGCAGATCGTGGCGCGGGGGACGTAGCCACTCTCCACGCATCGATCCAGGCATGCAACGCTCAAGCCAATCAGATGCAGCAAAAAGAAGGGACAAAGGGCGGGAAGAAGATGAGGTAACAAGAAAGAAGATACAGTTACAATGGCGCCCGCCCAACGATTACAGTTGTATGCAAGATTAAGAGCGCCTCTTAGTCAGAACTTCGTTCCCGGCGCAGAAGAACGCGCGTAAGAAAGGAGTGCCGCTCGACAAGAATTTCAAAAAGTCCTGAATTCCTATCTGAACTTAAAACTGCAACAAAAAAATTGCGACGAAACAGAAGAAAAGCAAAAAGAAATCAGAACTTCGAGAGCCCTCGGGGGCTTATCCTTAGGAAAATTCAAAAAGAATACCGAAAAGCTCCCGCGCGATCATTGCGCCAAAAATCTTCGTTCCCTCCTTTTACTCCCAGCAGAGCAAGAGCGAACCATCGCCAACCGTTATCGATCGCGCCCAATGGGGCGTGCACACTCAACCATCTGTCCCGGGCCTGTCCCACCACCGCCGAAGGGGAAGGAGCGAAGCGAAGAAAAAGAAAGAAGCGAGGTCACTGACGCAATTTACCCGCGGATCCCATCTCCCACAATCTGCCCAATCTTCCCATCTCAGGACCCCTCATCGTCATCGCGCAGAAAGGCGCGTGGCACAGAAAGTGGTTCGTCACAACCTCGCCCTGTAGTTGTGGGCATCTACATACCACCTATCAGTGCCCAACATGAGGTGGTCTATGAATTGTTCAGAGAGAGCTGACGTATGAGCATGAAATGAATCATGCTTTCCCAACCATCTCAACCATACATGCAAGTGCATGTCGTCTGCTGATTCGCGGCCTGTTGACGTTCAAGCGGACCCCGACCGCGTTGCGCACGAGAGCCCAACCCAACCCCCGTCCAAAAAAAAACTGCTTCCCCATGCTGGCCCCCCAGGAAAAATTGTGTTGCTGCCAAAAAAAATTTTTAGTGGGCCACGCTTGAAACGGGAGCGAGGAGCAGGACAGGCGAGGTGGCCCTTTTCTCACTCCTCCCGCCTCCACCACCATCGATCGACCGCCGTAGACTCTGGGCCTCGCCACACCACTCTCGAAATGTGAAAGAAAGACAAAATGTGGCGGGTGCATCTGGCCATGTTCTAGCGAGAAGTTCATTTCCATTTTGCAAATTCGAGAATGGTGATGCCCTGAACGTTTTTTTTTTTTTTTTTTTTTTTTTTCCAAGATGCCCTGAACCTTACCTTCGGGCCTCGCTGCACTACTCAGCACATGCACAAAAGACAAGAACTATGGCGGTGTATACTTCGATGTTCTAGCAGGAAGATTCATTCATTCACATCACATTTTGCACCGTGGTGGAGCAAGGGCGTTTGGCCATCCCTTCCGTCACTCATCGCTTACTAGACCCCGCCTGTCCCCAAACAACCCCAATCCCCYCCCCCCCCCACCCTTCAAAAACGAAGGCCGAAATGATAAAAAAAAAAACGTCCACCCCAAAAAAGGAAAGACCGGGCGACGCCCGCCATGGCCAAACTACCTATGCAACCTGCCCTTGGTCGCCGGCGCGACAACCTCTGAGCCATTTCGGCTACCGGTCTGTGCCCTGCCCCGACCGTGCACCTTGTAGACTCCCCATAAACCCCGTTAGGACTCGTCGACACTTCCATAAACGGACGCCCCTCCACACGACAAAGTGCAACGGGGTAAGACGCAGCCTTTAGCTGCGAATTTTGTTTGGCAAAATTGCATCTGTACCCGCGCTATACCCAGCACTGGTGTCGAACTTGCATCAGTACCCGGTAAATTGTCCGTTACAAATTATTTGTATACCCAGGACGGAGGAGGACCAAGGTTGATATCGCCAAATTGCAGTTATACCCAGCTACGGTAATGCTACTTATGCACATACCCAGGCATATTATGTGGATACCCAATTTCGCCTGCCCGGTCCCTGGGCATAAGCATAATTTTATGCTCCCCAACCACGGGCCTGTGGGACCGGGTACGCGTATAAGTTGGGCTGGTATAGATGGAAGTTCTGGGCTCGACTGGGTATAGCCGGTATTCCCATCTTTAAGTGCGGTACAGATGCAATTTGGCTTTTGTTTCTGGTTGTGGGTCGAAACTGGAAGGGCTCGTCCTTTGGGACATCCGTTAAAATTGGAACGGGACAGAGAAGATTAGCATGGCCCCTGCGTAAGGGTGACACGCATAAAATCGAGAAATGGGAAAAAAAAAAAAGAACTGGAAGGGCTCGGGACCCGTTTCTTGTTGGTCCTGTTAGGTCGAGCCTGGAAGGACTTGGGGGATCGTTTTTCTGTCGTTGGTGCAGGTCGCCTCGAGGGAGTAGCGACCTTAGTCGCCCTCTACGAGCAGCGCCGCTAGTCGCCCTGTACGAGCAGCGCCGTTAGTCGCCCTTTACGAGCAGCGCGATGCCCCTGCGTTCGCACCATCCGAGCGCCGGAGCAACCATCGCCGACTTCGATCATCCTCGAAGGTGAGTCTTCACCAGCCCTCTTTCCCTCCCTCGAACTCACCACCTCCTCCTCCTCCTCCACGTCTTCCTCCTCCTCCTTCTCCAGCTCGTCCTGTTCACCTCGTGTATCTCTCCTCCTCCTCGTCACGGTGTCGTCCTCTATTTCTTTTGCCATAGTATGGAAAGTAGAACTCCCCTCCTTCTCGTCGCGTCCTCCTCCATCTCTCCTCCTCCTCGTCACTTCCTCCTCCATGTCACCTCCTCCTCCAGCTCTCATCATCCTCGCCTCCTCCTGCATCTCTTCTCCTCCTCTTTCGTCACTTCCTCCTCCACGTCACCTTCCTCCCCCTCTCCTCCTCCCCCTCCCCCTCCCCCTCGTCAAGGTCTTGTCACGTTTTCTTATATAAGCTTCAAGTGGCGTTGGTATCTCCTCCTCTTCCATTCCTCTTCCATATCTGGTCGTCCTCCTCCTCCATCCCTCGTTGTCGATCTTTCCTCCTCGTCGCATCCTTCTTCTCTATCTCTCCTCCTCCTCGTCCTCCTCCTCCTCCATCTCCCCTCCTCCTCCTCCTCCTCCTCCTCCTCCTCCACCTCCATCTCCCCTCGGCACGACCTCTTTCAAACTCGAAACGGCAATCACCCCTCTTCGCGTCCTCCTCCCCCCCCTCGTCCTCCTCCTCCTCCTCCTCCTCACCTTCTCTGCCATTTCTTCCCTCGTCACCTCCTCTTCCTCCATCTCTCATTGTCCTCCTCCATCTCTTGTCGTCGTCGTCCTCCGTATCTTCCCCTCCTCGTCACGGCCTCGTCGCCTTTTACTTTTTTCTTCTGTTTTGAAACATGAAATGGCGGGGTCCTTGTCGTCTTCTGTCGTCGTTGTCCTCCTCCATCTCGTCTGCTACTCCTCGTCACGCCCTCCTCCTCCTTCCCCCCCTCCATCTTTCCTCCTACTCTTCACATCCTTCTTCCCCATCTCTCCTCCTCCTCCTCCTCCCCCCCTCCATCTTTCCTCCTACTCTTCACATCCTTCTTCTCCATCTCTCCTCCTCCTCCTCCCCTCCTTCCATCTTTCCTCCTACTCGTCACATCCTTCTGCTCCATCTCTCCTCCTCCTCCTCCTTCATCTATCGTCGTCCTTGTCCTCCATCTTCTTCCATCTCTTGTCGTTTTCTTCCGTCTCTTCTCCTCCTCATCACAGCCTCGTCACCTTTTTCTTTCTTTTTCTTTTGAAATATAAAATGGCGGGGTCCTCCTTCTCCTCCTCCTCCTCCTCCTCACCTCCTCCCCCATCTCTTCTCCTCGTAACCTCGCTCTCCTCCTTGTCACCGCCTCGTCATCCTTTTTTTTTTTAACCGAAGCTCTGTAGTTCGAACTTCGAAAGCCATCCATATCATCTACCTGTCGACTCCTCCGCCTCCTCCTCCGCCTCCTCCTCCTCACCTCCCCGTCCATGTCTCCTCGTGACCTCCTTCCCCTCTGTCTGCTCCTTGTGACCTCCTCCCCCCCTGTCTGTTCCTCGTGACCTCGCCCTCTTTTGTCTCCTCCTCGTGACCCCCTTCCCCTCCTCCGGCTGTCCTCCTTGTCACATCTTGTCTCTTTTTTTTTTTTTTTATATAGCGGAAACTTGGAAGTCGGAACACTGTTGGTATCGCCTCCCCCTCCATCTCCTCGTCCCCCTCCATCTCCTCCTCCCCCTCCATCTCCTCCTCGTCCTCCTCCACACCTCGTCACCTCTTCTTTTCTTTTTTTTCAGTGGAAACTTGGAAGTTGGAACACTGTTGGTATCTCCTCCCCCCCCCCTTGTCTCCCCGTTCCCCTCCTCTTCGTCCTCGCTTTTCCTTCTCCTCATCCTCCACCTCCTCCTTGTCACCTCCTCGCCCTCCTCCATCTCTCCTCCTCCTTGTAATGCCTTGTCACGTTGTTTTTTTTTGGATGGAAAGTTCAAATGCCGACCTTTTTTTTCAGCAGAGAGTTTGGAGTTGGACGGCTGACGTTGTCTTCTTCTCGCCTCCTCGTCACGTCCTCCATCTCTCGTTCTCGTCACCTCCAACTATTCTCCATCGCTCCTAGCCCTCCATCTCTCCTCCTCGTCGCGCACACCTCCTTCTCCTCGTTCTCCTCCTCTCCTTAATTGCAAATCTTAGCAAATGGCAATTGTTTTGTTTGGAAAAGGCAATGAGTCGCTTCTTTTTTGTTTTGCTTCCCCCCCCCCCTTTTTTGTTATATTGGGGGGGATCCAGGGGGGCAGGAGGGGTGGATAGGGGGTGTTTTCCAGAGAGGATGTTGAATGAGGCTGATTTTCTGGCTTCTTCTCGACGGTTTTCTATGTGTGTGCAGGTCTACACTTCGGCTATGATCAGGCGGCATCGCCACGAAGGCGGGGTCGGAGGGAAAGGTCCATCCCAAGGATGGCAAATGGTGGATCTGCAAGTACTGGGGGGAACGGGTACCGTTCCTACCCTGCAGTGCCTTTGAAATGAATAAAATTAAGATCTATTGATTAATAAAAATACTAAATTGTTTCCGCACAAGAGCGGACGGGGGGTCGGACCTCTCCGCACAGTTCACGCGCAAAACCGCACGGGACGGGAGATGATCCTACCGGACAGCGCGCGGCACCGTGGGGTGGTCCTGTATGGCACGTACGGGTACGGGCCTGTAGGTCCTGTATGGTACGTACGTGTACGGTCCTGTATGGTACGTACGGGTACGGGCCTGTAGGCCAGACGGGAAGGTCGGGCTGGCAGAGTCTCGCCCGACACGGTTCGGTCCTGTATGGTACTGGTACGCGGACGGGCGGAAGAGCGCAACTGCGCGGAGAGAACTACGACGGGGGATCACCTACTACGTGCAGCCGGCAGAGTCTCGCGGGCTCTCCGCCTATGCTGCGCTTCACTTGCGCCGCGCGTGCTTTATCCAGCTGGCAGATCGCCCCCGCGGTGTGGCCCCCCCTGCTCCATCACAGTCCGCCTGGCCCTGCGCGCACGTTACGACTAGTATTTCGACTGTTCGAGCGGCGGCGGCCAGAGGACTGTTCACGCCTTTCGGCCCCGACGAGCGCAATCTTCGAGGCGAAGCAGACCGGTCATCTCCGCCCTCGTCATCCGGCAAGCGCGGGAGGAATCGCCGGGACTCCCCCGACGCCACGCGGAGCTTCCGCAGCCTGCTACGTGTCCGACAATAGACGATCGCGCTCCCGCCTGATAGCTATGGCATGCTCTGATGCTGGCCATAAGGACGGTGACACCGTGGACATCGCTGAAACGAACCCCGAGAGAAAACGTCTAAGGAAGACAGAGACCACCTACCTTTTCGGGCCTTATCCTATCCATTATAGGGAGGTGTTCCTGGAGACCAGCCTCTCCTATGCGTTTGTCAACTTGAAGCCAGTCGTTCCAGGTCACGTGCTAGTAAGTCCCAAAAGGGTAGTTAAGCGCTTCGCGGAGCTAACGAGCGCGGAAGTCGTAGATTTGTGGCAGGTCGCGCAGCGCATTGCGCGGAAGCTGGAAGGCCACCATGATGCCACGTCACTCACTCTGACTATTCAGGACGGCAAGGAGGCGGGGCAGACGGTTCCACATGTGCACGTTCACATCTTGCCGCGGAAGGGTGGAGATTTCACACCGAACGATAAGGTGTACGACGCCATAGATGAAAGCGAGGAGAAACTGTCAGAGACGTTGAATCTGGACAAGATGCGAGAGGACAGGACACCTGAGGAAATGGCAGCGGAGGCGGCGACATTGCGAGCGCTCTTTGAGAAATCAGTCGAAAACGAAGAAGAAAACGAAGAAGAAGAAAATGGCAAGTGAGGGGGGAGTAGGGGGGGCGAAGGGGGAGGGGGCGGGAGGGGGGGGGCTATGGATGGGAAAATTGCGAAAGCTGTTTTGCGGATGAAGGAGACGATGGCAAGTGAAACAGGAAAAGGAGGAGAAGAGGGAGATGAGAGAGAGGAGAGAGAGGAGGGAGAGGAGGGAGGAATAATGAGGCTGGGAGGGGTTGTCCTGTTCAGGGATCGAAGGAAGGGGGAAGGAGGTCTGCCGCTTTTTTTTTCAAGGAAGTATGGCGAACAAAGCAAAGCTGGTTGGGGTGAAGGAATCAGGAAAGGGGGAGGGGAAGGGGGAGGGGAAGGGGGAGGGGGAGGGGCAAATGGAAGGGATAATATATTGCCTGATTAGAAGCGCCTGGAAGAGGAAGGTGGACGCCCGCTGCCAAACGAGGTGCCATTTCTTGCACAAACGAAGAAGGCAACAACCAGCTCGATTTGTGGGGCTCACGGAAACAGCCCCGCGTCCCCCCCCACCTTCCCATCAATTTTGTCAATCTTTTTGCAGGGAAATAGGGGCCCCCTTCCCTCCCTTCGATTTTGTCACTTCTTTTGCAGAAAGTAGGGTCCCCGATTCGCTTGCGTCATTTTTGCCAATTATTTTGCGGTGCTTTTTGTAAAGGGGAAAAAAATACCAATTTATTGTATGCTGGGAAACGGGCCCAGCGTATTTTGCAGCGCTTTTAAACCGTAGGCAGAGAGGGAGAAGAGGGGAAGAAGACAACAAACAAACGAGGGGCTGTGACAAACTGTTCTGTTTCGTCGGAGTTTTACTGATTCATCAGGAGGCTGAATACATTTATTTCTTTTTTTTGCATTTGCGCTCTGATAAATTTGTGACGATATATATATATATATTGGGACGTCGGCAGGCTCGTTCATTCTCTCCTCCTCCCAGTCCCCCTTCCTCTCGACGTCGTATTGATGCTAATCTGCGGGGATCTTTGTCTTACCGACAACCTTCTCTGCCACGTCGGCGGCGTTCGTCTTTTACGCGCCGACCCCGCCAGATCACATCTGGCTTTCCAGTGGTGACCGATTCGGATCTGCGGGCAGACCTACCAAATTCTTGTGGTTTGACAGCCACAAATGTCTGCCTACAGGCTTATCAGCGTCAACGTTATAGTGCATCCCAATTTCTTACGATTGCGTATCAGCTTGACG